ATTTAGAGATTCGCCGCAGTCGGGTCTTAGGTGCAGGAATCCCAACCAATGCTTACCTAACTTTTTAAAGATGGTACTCTTAGCCCTTAGGATAATTGAATTATGCATACAAAAGAATTTTAAATTGGCAGCTATTTACGAAACGTTTTGCATTTTACTGGCAGAGTGCATACTGTTCTTTCATAATAAACTTTTTGTAGCGACTCTTAGCCTGCGGGTGTTCTTAGTACGTTTTTAAAATCTGGGTTAATCTCGGTCTTTACGTTGTTATAAAAAAAGGCTCTCACAGAAAGGAGTCAGTATTCAATGACATTTTGAGTGAATGAAACAGGCCAAATATATTTCTCTCACTCATTACCTGACAATTCATTAAGTTTTAACAAAAGAAACCATAAACCCTAATGATGTTTAATATCTGATCTTAACTAGCAAAGATTTTTTTGCGATTTTATTTCGCAGTTTAATCTTTAGTTTAGTTTAGAAGTGTTTGATCACATTTCCAGACAGCTCGAAGTTCGTTGAAAATACTCCGTATAAGCGTCTCATTTTTAACTCTCTTTAAAGTGTTTGAAAATGTGGTCAAACATGGTCGTTCGTGTTTGATATATAACATCTAGTTCGTATCAGTGCGGGAATACCAAACTGCTAGAATATTATTCAGTAGAAAAAAAACGTGTCCTTACCCATTGTGCAGAGTTCCCATAGAAGAATTCCAAAAGACCACCTGGGAAAAAAGGTAAAAAAGCTGAATAGATTTTATCATCAATATACAGTCATTACTGATCGAGGTACATCGCAACATTTCGACTGCATCAGTAAAACAAATGCAAAAACGCCTTTGTCCTGAAGTTAAAAACTAACTCAGACTTATACTTTTCATTCCCTTGGACAATAATTGCGGCCGGGTAGTTGCTCGTATTCCATGCCAATTCTTGAGAGCGCCATTAGCCTGTCCGAGGCATTTAACAGTGGTTTTCGTTGAGAACGGGATATGGGAGGAGCAGGAGGGAGAGAGGGAAGCCAAGCAGCACTTCTTAATTTATAATTTAAGCATTTCATTAATTAATAATTTTCGAAATTAGTTCTCTTAAAGGAAGGAAACAGGACGCGAGAACTCAGCTATGTAGTCCACTCAGTGGCTAAAAATTGAAAAGGAAAAGAGAGTGACCTTGCACCACGTAGCTAATCAAACTTACACATCGCTTTTGGTGGTGTATTCACTGTTGTAGAGTGCTTCAGGCGCCGTCCATTTGACCGGCATCTTTTTCCCTTTCTTTAGTTTGTAAACACTTTCTTGGGTTTGTCGCATCAATCCAAAATCTGAGACTTTTACAACTTTGTCTTCGCCAAGAAGAACATTACGAGCCGCCAAATCACGATGCACAAACCCGTTGCTTGATAAGAAATCCTACACCAGTTTGTATAAAGGAAGGAGACAGAGAGAAATATGCAGCGAGATCAGTTCTTGTTAAACATACAGGCCGCTTGCGCGCGTAGGATTACAGTCAAACCAAGTGAGGCGTACCCCTTGAGATTACATTAATAGATTGATTATTTGAATAGTGAACCCACGAGTCGCTTCAAGAATGTAATAATGAATTGATTATTTAACACCAAAACTTTATTTAAGTGTCAAACCATCTAGCCCGGGAGAAACCCATTCTAATAAAGTTTATTTGAATATTGAACCCAGTATAAAGTCATTTCAAGAATACGGCTAACTGGTTCAATATTCAAATAATCAATTCATTAATGTAATCTTGAGGGGAACGCTTCGCTTGGTTTGACTGTAAAAAGTAAGTAATTACGGTCTAATTGTATGGAACCTCATATGAAATATTAGAAAGGTTTATTGATAAGGATGATCAGAGGTAGAAAAAATATAAGGGTCTTAAGAATCTTGTTTTCCTTAGCTGTTTGCTTTACTACCAAGCTGGCTAGAGAGAAAGGAGAGAACCGGGGTTACAGAGAGAAGAGCTTGTTTGTTGCAGGTACTTTAATGATGGTGGCTTTAACAGCCAATTGAAATTGTTTACATAGTAACCCTTTGTCTTCGTCTTGTTTGTCAATAGAATTTATTCAGTACCTACCATTCCGCGTGCTATTTGCCACGCAAAACAAAGAAGGTCCTTCGCAACAAGGTCTTCGTCCTGTTGCAAATTGTCATAGTCAGTATTTTGTGGGACTTGAGAGAACTTCTTACTTCCTTCCACGTCTGGTTTGGGTTGCTCTACCGCGTTTTCCTGGGTAACTGTCTCATCGCTAAGCCTCGAACATGTAGAGTGTAACCTTTTGTTGTCCGTACCATCCACGGGTAGTTTTCCGCAGTTCATTAATTCTTTTCTCTCTTCCTTATCTCCCACCAACAGTGCTTTTGATTTATCATCTATGCTAAAGTGCAGATCATTAGCATCTAGAATCAAGCGATTTCGTTCTTTGTAGTAATTCTTTTGATAACTTTTCTACGGGAGAGCAAAACAAATAGAGAGATGCTCGCTGCTGCATTTCATGAGAAATTACATGTATGTTTAGCTTTTGAATGACTGGAAGAGCGCAACGTATGTGTTCCGCTATGATTTATTTTAGCGTCCCCATTTTATAAGCTCAAGGGGAAGCAATAATAGAAAGAGGTGGCTTATTTCTTCACAGTATCAGTAACTCAAATAATTTCAGCTCCCTGAGCCCCATAAACAAAACTTTAAATTTCCAGCCGTGGGAGTAATCAAGAGACTATGATCATAATCTGCTGGTAATTTTAATATTGGTCGTGGGAATAGACGCTTATTATAAGACAAGGCATTTGTTAGAACTGTAAGGAAGCCGCTTTTTTCAATGAGAGAAAATCAAGCTAAAGGGCTTCAGAACGTGATGTGTAATAATAGATGCATTTACTGATGATTTAAGATATATCTCCTGTATTAACCGAACATTTACCGCGCAAACTGCCATGTCACCCGGGGGTAGAGAGTCGATCTCAATGCCCGCGCATCGACTAGAGTGTGGAAGGTCCACATGGGTTCGAATTCCGTTGGGGACTCTCAGTTTTCCTTTGTCCAAGGCTCGTTGAAACTAAATTACGTCTTTGTCTGAGCATGGTCCCTTCACATAAAGTTCTAATAAGTGTAAAATCTACCTGTATTCTCTTGTTTCTGAGCCAGTGTTTTAGGTCTCCATATGGAACATACTCTAACATTAGAAAGATGGGATCGGAGTGAACCCAACAACCCAGCATGCTGACAATATTCTTGTGCGAACCGATCGCTTTCATGATTTCAATTTCCTAAAGAAACTGGCTCCTGGCTTCCTCGTCTGTAGTGTCTAAAGACAAATTGTAATAGTATATCTGGCATCCGTTACACAAGATCAATGTAAAGTACTTATATTGCGGAAATAAAGTTGGCATAGGGGATACACAATACAGTTTTTAAAATCTAGTTTACTTGCTTGTTCTTTACTTTTTTTTTTAGTTTGTCAATTTACATTAAAATAAAAATAAAAACATTGTTTCTATTGGCCTAGCCCGTGGATAGCTGGTGCCAGTCTACTCTATATTATACATTTAGAAAACAGTCCTAAGAAAATACGCGTGTTGATTGGTTAAAAATCGTGTTGCAATTAGATTATCAGCTCGCGATTTCTATCGCGTGATAGTTGACTTGGGCTGCGCCCTCGTCAACTATCACGCATAGAAATCCCGAGCATAGAAATCCC